GGGGGGCTACGGATGTCCCCTGCATCCCATCTCGGGCCACGGCGGTCCCGGGGCGCTGAGCGGTGCCGTCCCGCAGGTGAAGCTCACCCAGGAGGTGCGGGTCCACCTCCTCGAGCAGCTCTCGGGCCTGCAGAGCAAGCAGCAGCGAGACGCCGAGCTGCTGGAGGACATCAGGTAGGGTCCCCACGCGTGTCCCCCTGTCCCCTGCCACCCCCACCCACCCCCCCAGCAGAGCCCGGCCAGCTCATCCCACGCGTGGGGTGAGGGCCAGCCCGCCAGGCACGGCTCACCTTGAGCCTGCCGCGCCGAGGTCATGGGCTCCATCACCCATCGGGGTGGCCAGATGGGGACATCCCGGTGCGGGGTGGCGGCAGAGGGGTGACGCCAGGGGTGGCCCATCCCTGGCCCCCGCTGCGTGGGTCCTCACCTGCATCGCGTGCCCTCTCCCCGCAGGTCCTACAGCAAGCAGAGGGCCACCATCGACAGGGAGTATGGGCAGGTAAGGAGATGCCACTGGTTTCAGGACCGATGGCCCGGTGAGGCAGGAGCACCCAGCTCCGTCCTTCCCACGCGGGGTGTTCCGGAGCGGGGGACAGCCCCACGCAGGCGATGGGCAGCGTCGGATATTATTTCTGACCAGAATGGGGCTTGGCTGCTCCGTGCCAGTCACGGAGGGCAGTGGTCGATGGGCTCAGCTTTTTCCTTGTCCTGAGGGGACAGGGGGACACCGACCATGTTAGGGGACCTGCTGGGGGGCTTTGCTGAGGACAGCATGGCCCAAACCTCGGGTGTTTTGGGGGCCAGGAGGGAAAATCTTGCAGGGGGGGAGGAAACCGCTCGGCTCTGCTGTCTGCTGGGTCATCGCAGGGCTCTGCTCTTAAATGTCAGAGCCTGGGTTTCCTCCGTGAGACGTCCCCGCAGCATCCCTTGGGGACACCCTGCAGCAGAGAACCGTCCCCCCTTCCTGCAGTCGGGCACCGTGCCACCCTGCTCCCTCCGTCCCCCCCACCCCAGGCTGGGGGGGGGGAACCACCCACCCCAGGGTTGGGGTCTTGCTGTGCTTGGCTTCGCTGGGGGTCCTCTACTCGGCCTCTGCAGCTGGTGTCCCTCTCTGGTGTCCCCTTGCTGTTCCTCTGTCCCAAAAGCTGCAGCTGGGGCGGGAGGGGGGTCCTCTTGCGGTGGTGGCTGCTCCCCAAAAAGGTTTTCCCACGGGGAGCGTGATGGGGTCCCTGCTGACACCAGGCCACTGTA